TTTTCATTAAAGCCGAAAGACAAGGAAATTGGAAGATGCACCTAAAGTCTATTGCTGAGATGTTGCCATTATTTGCAACAGCTGGTCATAACTTGTACACCAAAGCAGTTCGGTTGTACCTTCAGATGATGACCTGTAACATATGTTATATTTGGGATTACACTTTCTTTGTAAAGTAAAGCTTCCACAAAAATGAAAGTCGGACAACTGGTAGTTTAGACTTCAGACTTTGTGTACCCCTCTGATAAGTGTTAATTGGCACGGATCCCACGTCCGAAAGCTATGTAATACACAATGCCATTTAGAAAGCGGTCAAATGTAACATGTTATATTTGGGATTACACTTTCTTTTGTAGAAGCCACGGTGGCTGAGCGGTCTGGGCGTCTGACTTTGTGTGCTGGCAATTAGGTGCCTGACTCTGAGGGTGTGGGTTCGAATCCCGGATGGGACTCAACCCAACAAAAGTACTAGAATCTGTACTTTACAAATATATGTTACATTGGGGCACATTCTAAATGGCATTGTGTATTTCATAGATGATGACCTCCCTGCAAGACACACATCCCAATACCTTTGAACACCTCAACTCAGGTCATCATGTTATCCGCCGCTCCAATTGTTATTGGGGAGGATTTCCAACAGATCTTGTTTATTGAACAGGTGCCCATGCGGAACATGAAAACAAATGGGGGACTTACAAGGGGGCAGGCATGTCTGAAACGCAGAAGCTTGTGTCAATGCCATCATGCATGGAAGTCAGCAATGCCATGAGTGATCTTACAAGTAGTGGAAACAGAAACTCTGAACTACACATGGACATGTCTAATGCAAGACAGGAGAGAGACAAGAATGATGCCATGAAACTTCTCCATTTCCTTCATGACAGAGGCCCTTTCAAACAAGGTCCTGACCTCAGAAACACTGCAAATGGAGTTGTCGCAAGTGAAACTGTGAATGCAGATGATGCATGTTGAGTTTGGTAGCTCTTTTGTGGACACTATGACAAGCACTGGCGACTTCAAATTCAAAAGGAAAGATCAAGCTGTACAAATGAACGAGAAACCTGTTACACCACAAGATGAAGAAATTTGCAACATTGATCCAGTTTTATTGTTTCAAAGGTTTCTGATTGCCGATAGCCAGTCAACACACTACCTTCAATCTTTGCTAAAGTTTGAACTTTGCAGTTATCCACCTGCACTGTTTGATTCTCCCTCTTTCCTGAAGGAAGCAAGCAAACCTGCCCTGACTTCATTCATATCACAAATTGGATGATGGTGTTTCCCGTGGTCCAGCTTCTGATGCTCTGTATGTATCTCGATGGCGGGGCTTTGCTGCATACTCTACCTTGGCCACGTACTGCACATATGTCAAAAGACACTATGACAGAGATACTGTTATGTTGAATGGATACTCAAGTTCATGGACAAAGTATGCAACACAAATGAGACGGACTGGTGGACTTAAATTTGGTTAAATTTCATGAGAGTATGATCTTACAATCAAAGAAAGAGACATTCCAGGCCAATGTTCAGAACAAACAACGGTTCATCATCATGATGTGTTCCTATCTATAAGCTGAAGGATGTGACACAGTTCAAGCCACTGGTGATTCTGATGTTGTGATATTTCAAACAGCAGTTACACTGGCATGCCAGTCATAAACAGTTCTCATAGGGGACGACACCGATCTGCTGGTGACACAAATCTGGAATCGCATGATATCTTCTTGCAGTCAACACCCAAGAAAAGTTCTTTGAAAAGAACTCCATTTTGGAACATCAGTGACACCAAGAAGAAGCATGAAGCATTGTTGTTCATACATCCTGTCTTAAGCTGTGGTACGACATCAATATGGAATATGAACAGCAAAACAAATCATTCAAACTGGAGGGAGGCCATGGTTTGTCTCCTGTATGGAGAAACAGGTGGAAGTCTGAACTTACTCACAGACGTTTTTGTGACAAAATGGCCTCAAGCCAGATGCATGTTTATCCTAAGAATCGTCCGCCAACCTCAACAGCAGTCTAGTGTCACAGTCGCCGGGCTTACTTTCAGATTCAAGAGTTGAAAGGAAATGACCATCTGCTTAGTTTGACAGATTAAGGATGGAAAAGAGATGGCAAAAAGATCCTAACCTTGAAGATCTTCCCCCAGCTCCAAAGGAACTGTTGACAATTATCACATGCAACTGTAAAACAAATATTTGCAATTCTAAAAGATGCACAGGTAAGAGACATGGATTGAGATGCACTCACTTGTGCAGTGTGTCCCGTGGTTGTGCATGTCTGAGTGCTCAAAGGCTTGACCTCAGTGATGCATGATGCAATCAGAGAACTGTTGTAAAATAATCTGGAAAAGGACGTTGCCATTCTGTGAAACAAGATTAGCTAATGAATGCAGGTAATTCTTAATGAAATACCATTTATGAAGTTGAGTAATAGACAACTCTTTTACATAAGTTTCAATCGACAAAATGACTTGTTTTTCATCATTGTACTTGATGAAAATGTGGCGATATAAAACATTGATCGTTCATTCTATTTCATTATTATTTGGAATGACTATTGGTTGATACATATTCATCACAATATTTCTTCATGTTAAAAATTGTCACACAATTGAAAAATGAAATTTTTGGCATAATCGTAGCATGTGATGTCCGGATACGATTTTCATATTCTTCGGAATGTTTTTTTTAAACATACAACAATATAATGAGACTAATCCTTATTAAACCATATATTTCTGAAAAGTCTGTAATCTGAGCTTTAATTTGATATATAACATGACACAACTGAGTAGATCACAAAAAAGTTTGCATTTCCATCTAAGATTTCGAAAGTGAAGATGACCCCTATGACCTTGAGGGTTGAATTTGACCTTGTTGCACCACTGAGATTTTCCTAGACTTTTTATATGTTATAAAGGAATGCTTCAGGGTCTTAAAACAGTTGAAATAATTTCTGTTGCAATTTGTGGTGGGTTAGGTCAGAATCTAACCAGGATGACTGGACTATTACTCCAATAAATTTCTGCACTCTCTTGGGTTGAAGCTCTGACTTTTCCAGATGAACAGGCAACTCCAAAGTCCAAACGAAAGACAGCAGGTATTGAGAATCTTCTAAACAGAACCCTGAACTGAAAGACTTTTCCATTGACAGCAAAGCGTAGCTATCTCTGAAAGGCTGGATGGATCTGAATGTGTAGTTACACATCTTGCAGGTCTATGGAGATCATAGAGTCCCTCACAGAGATTTTTTGTCAGAGGTTCCATATGGACGAAGTCCAACAACTGGTTTCTTCAGAATCCTTGGGGACCAGGCATACCAGAAAGAATGACCCTGGTCCGGACTCCAAAGGAACCAACTTGTCCAGCTTTCTTGTCCAAGAGCTTGTCTGTGGCTGTCATCGCCGCACAAAGCATCGACCCCAGAGTTGATACCCATGTCCTACCAAGTGTGTCACCAAGAGGGTCTTCTTGACAAATTGTAGGTGATAAGTTGATAAACGACCGCTCACTGGACACTGAGACACCTTCATATGAAATACATCTTATTAACATGGTTGTTGTCTATAGCCAAACTCAAGGTCTGTGCTACAAATGTTTTGAAACTCCCTGGAGAGTCAAGAAGATTTAGGCCTGAGCTTTCCATCCTTTTTGGCTTCAAACGCCTTCCTATATCCCTTGGAAATAGAATTAAGCTTGTTTCTGCTGTAATATCGGAGATAAACTTCTTCAATGGACTTACTCAGTTGAATTCTGAGTTGCAGTAGGGGAGGTTGATGTTACAGCCCTGTGGAACTTCTCGTCTTCCTCTGATTGACGGCCTTTTATATTGCCACTGATATGGCAATGTCCCCCGTCACATACAAGATGCCTGAAATGACTGGTGTCTGCATAATTACCCAATGTAAGCTGCCGACATACTTGAAAACATTGGGTGCAATGTTTTATGAAATATCGCCTTTAAAAAGCGGTCAAAGTATAAACTGGTGTCTGTGTAATACCCCAATGTAAACTGTCACCAAATTGTAAGACATTGGGTACAACAGTCCATGAGATGCTGTGTTAACAAGATTTTAAAGTGTGCAAAGTGTCGTGGTGACCTTGAAACTAAGGTCAAGGTCACCAAAATAAACTGGTGTCTGCGTAATAATCCCCCCTATGTAGGCACTCACCAAATTTGAAGACACTGGGTACAACAGTGCATGAAATATCACGTTATCAACAGTTTGAAAAGTGGTCAATGTCGTGGTGACCTTGAAAGTAAGGTCAAGGTCACCCAAATCGACTATTGTCTGCATAATCCCCTAATGTAGGCTGTCACCAAATTTGAAGACATTGGGTACAACAGTTCATGAGATATCACGCTAACAAGAGTTTGAAAAGTGGTCAAAGTGTTGTGGTGACCTTTCTCTATGGCATGCTCAGCTGCTACATAGATTGTCGCGACCCCATTCCTATCTTCTGCATTTACATTTGCAGCTTTGAGCATGCAGTGGGCAAGGATAAATGAGCAGTATAAATGGACTGTCTTTATTATTATGTTTTCAGATTAAGATGAAAAATGCAGCAGAGAGGGTTTGGGTGATCCTGGAACAGTCAGGCTGGTCAGACTCATCATCAGCTCAGGGCCCTCACCCCCTCTACACGCAGCTCAGACAGCGAGTGGAACTTCTCCCAGGAAACACTGCCTAGTCGAACCCACAAAGAACTTTCCGAAGAATATGTAGACTCCCAAACACTGCAGCCTTCTGCATTACCCAGAGTGTCAGAAGGGCTGTGCTCCAAGTGGAGAAACTGGGCACTCTCCTCATCTGCACCAAGAGATCAGGAGGTACCAAACCAAGGGCACCAACAACAACTGGGAGCCTGACGACAGTGTACTTGGGATGCAAGCGAGACATTTTAAAGGTGAGTTTCGCATATTTAGCATTCTTTTCCTGAATCTTGTAAATCATGTTGCTGTCAAAAGGGACAGAACATTCAATGATATAAATAAATACATTGGCTTTATTATAATTATTGTTTCCCTATGAGATACTCAACAGTTTCATGTCTCATTCATACCTCTTGCATTAACCCTGGCACATTTCTCTTCGAGATAAACAGCAGTTTCATGTTTGGCAAGCTGAACTGCTACAAGAAGTGGTGTGACTCTTCTGCATTAATAGTAATAGTAATATTATTAGTCTGCTTATATGGCACTCATATCCAGTTACATTGCCTGCTCACGATGCTATGTACATTACTATCCACGGTCATAGGACACTATCACACTTTCCGATACTTTTTCAACACCCTGGGGAGCATACAGCCATGCTGTCTGTTAGACACAATAAACTAAACGGACATTAACATTCACATAATTCTCTGTGAGATACTGAACAGTTTCATGTTTGGCATGCTGAACTCCTACATGAAGTGGTTTGACTCCATTGTTATCTCTTCAATTAACATTCCCACCTTTCTAAATGAGATACTCAACAGTTTCATGTTTAGCATGCCTATTGGCTACATGAAGTTGTGCGACTCCTTTCATGTCTCCTGCATTAACATTCGCACCTTTCACAATTGATGATTAACAGTTTCATGTTTGGCATGCTGAACTGCTACATGAAGCGGAGTGACTCCTTTCACATCGTTTGCATTAACACTGGCACCTCTCTCCATAAGATACTCAACAGTTTCATGTTTGGCATGCTCAGTTGCTACATGAAGTGGTGTGACTCCTTTCATATCTTTTGCATTCGGGGCGGTGGGGTAGCCTAATGGTTAAAGCGTTGGCTCGTCACGCCGAAGACCCAGGTTCGAATCCCCACATGGGCACAATGTGTGAAGCCCATTTCTGGTGTCCCCGCCGTGATGTTGCTGGAATATTGCTAAAAGCGGTGTAAAACCAAACTCAGTCAGTCAGTCTTTTGCATTCACACTGGCACCTTTCCCTACGAGATACTCAACAGTTTCATGTTTGGCATGCTGAACTGCTACATGAAGTGGTGTGACTCCTTTCCTATCTTCTGCATTAACACGGGCACCTTTCTCCATAAGATACTCAACAGTTTCCTGTTTGGCATGCTCAGTAGCTACATGAAGTGGTGTGACCTTTCATATCTTCTGCATTAACATTTGTACCTTTCTCAATGAGAAACTGAACAGATTCATGTTTGGCATGCTGAACTGCTACATGAAGTGGTGTGACTCCTTTCATATCTGTTGCATTAACGCTGGCACCTTTCTCAATAAGATACTCAACAGTTTCATGTTTGGCATGCTGAACTGCTACATGAAGTGGAGTGACTCCTTTCCTATTTTCTGCATTAACATTCGTACCTTTCTCCATGAGGTACTCAACAGTTTCATGTTTGGCATGCTGAACTGCTACATGAAGTGGTGTGACTCCATACATATCTATTGCATTAACACTGGCACCTTTCTCCATGAGATACTGAACAGTTTCATGTTTGGCATGCTGAACTGCTACATGAAGTGGTGTGACTCCATATCTGTTGCATTAACGCTCTTTCTGCATTAACAACTGGCACCTTTCCTATTTTCTGCATTAACATGAGATACTCAACAGTTTCATGTTTGGCATGCTGAACTGCTACATGAAGTGGTGTGACTCCATACATATCTATTGCATTAACACTGGCACCTTTCTCCATGAGATACTGAACAGTTTCATGTTTGGCATGCTGAACTGCTACATGAAGTGGTGTGACTCCATACATATCTATTGCATTAACATTGGCACCTTTCTCCATGAGATACTGAACAGTTTCATGTTTGGCATGCTGAACTGCTACATGAAGTAGTGTTGACATGCCCCATCTTCGATAATAATAGTAATATTTACAATTCTCTGTGAACCGTTCACCTGCTACATTAAGTGGTGTTGTCATGACCCATCTTCTATAATGATAATCTATGAGGTACTCAACAGTTTCATGTTTGGCATGCTGAACTGCTACATGAAGCGGAGTGACTCCTTTCCTATCTTTGGCATTTACACTCGCACCTCTCTCCATAAGATACTCAACAGTTTCATGTTTGGCATGCTGAACTGCTACATGAAGTGGTGTGACTCCTTTCATATCTTTTGCATTAACACTGGCACCTTTCTCTATGAGATACTCAACAGTTTCATGTTTGGCATGCTGAACTGCTACATGAAGTGGTGTGACTCCTTTCATATCTGTTGCATTAACACTGGCACCTTTCTCTATGAGATACTCAACAGTTTCATGTTTGGCATGCTGAACTGCTACATGAAGTGGTGTGACTGGTTTCATATATTTTGCATCACCAATGGCACCTTTCTCTATTAGATACTCAACAGTTTCATGTTTGGCATGCTGAACTGCTACATGAAGTGGCTTGACTCCATTCTTGTCTTTTGCATTAACATTCGTACCTTTCTCTATGAGATACTCAACAGTTTCATGTTTGGCATGCTGAACTGCCACATGAAGTGGTGTGACTCCATTCTTGTCTTTTGCATTAACATTCGCACCTTTCTCTATGAGATACTTAGCAGTTTCATGTTCAGCACATGTCCTTTGTACATTAAACGTGTCGACTGTACCCTCCTTCAGTTCATCAAGAAGAAAGGGCCATTTATCCAAGAATAATCCCAGAATATCCACCCGATCTAACCAAATGATAAGTTCAATGGGACTTAAATTTTCATATTTGTGGCTGAAGGAATAACCAATATGTTGGAGGATGTCAATGATGTCAAACCATTTCTGCATGAATACAGGATTGCCAAGATGATTCTGTAGGTTGCACTCTGTACATATTTCACAGAGGCCAAGAATGGTAGCATGTATTGGGTGATCTCCATGATGACTATTATACTTCTGTCCAAAATATTCAACACAAGAGATGTTCCCCGCCTTACAGGCCAACATAAGAGGTGTCATTCCTGACACTGTGGCAGTAGACACATGTTCAGGTTCAAGGAGGAGATGAAGTTTTTCTTTAGTTTTTATGTCTGACTGAGCAGCAAAGTGGAGTGGAAGCCATCCTTCTGAATTCTTTAGTGATTTGTCTACATTGAGTTGTAACAGATATACCACCATCTCTGCTGTGCCTATGTGAGCTGCAAGGTGCAGTGGTGTGTCTCCTCTGCTTGTTGTACATGCAATGTTTCCACCATATCCATGAATCATTGACAGAGGATGGGTTTCTCTACAACCTGCTGCCAAAAGTACCAATTCATCTGTGGAACAGCTTATACCAAGACTGCAAAAGATTGGAAACAATTCTAAAAATGCATCTTTCTTCATCCACCCGAAAGTCTTCAAATATAATAGGGGTGTCACATTATGAAACAGTAGTAAGAGGCATTTGGACAGCTGCACAAGCAGTTCTCTAGCTTTGTCACTATCAGCGTTACACATTAAGAGGGCCAGTTTCTCTAAAGTTTCCCTTTTATTCTTTTCTAACAGCAATGCCACCAGTGGCCACTTGAAAATGTTCATGATGGATGCATCAAATGTGTCCAGGATGTGATCAAAAGCAGTGTTGTCTGCAGTCTCAGAAGCACATGCTGCAATAATGCAGGCTTCAGATATACAAGTCTTTCTCTTTAACATTTCTTGAATCAGTTCTGAATTTCCCCTATAGATAGCACTGGCCAATACATCTTGTCTTGTTTCCGTCAACGCCACCTCTGATAAACAGTTCTCAGCTGCTGCCATCAGATCCATTACTATCAGGTTGCAGCCATTGAGTGCAAAATAACACAAAACAGAAGTAAACCTCAGGACCAAGATATCTTCAATATGTAAAGTCGGAATGTCCTCTGTAATACCAACAGCCAAAGCTGAAAGTCTTTCCACTGTTTGCTTACTGAAAAAAACTTTTGTGAAGATTTTTTTGGTGCAGTTCTGAAACCTTACAATTTTCATTTTGTCTTCAACTTTCCAGAAACTATGTGTAAGAAATTCACAAAATTCAGGATCCTGAAAAGCTGGATGTGTAATGATTAGTTCCTGGTTTGTGGACAACAATTCTTGTGTGAGTCTCTCAGAGAGAATATCAAACCTATTTCTGGGGATTAATATGATATGGTCAGATTCTGATGTTGGTGATGTTCTTACATATTCCAGTAAAACACTAAGGGTGCAGAACTTGAGCCCAGTTGTGAGGTTCTCTTTGCAGACTTGAATGGAAATGACATCCATTACTGATTGATGTACAAACCTGTAGCTTTCTTTGTTTTCTACAAAGGTAAGATACATTGGGCACATCGTCTTGGCTTTACTCTCTAACTGATGAATGTCACAATTTCTGAAACTGAGCAGCCTCTCGATGAGGTCGCGGTCTTCTTTTGATCGGTCAAATGGATCAAAAAAGCTCCTGTGTAGTTCCCCTCCTTTCAGAAATAGCAACAACAGCACCATATAACCTACTGGATCAGCATCTGACAGGCTTCTTATATTCTCTGATAAACACTTCAGTGGCTTAGAGAAAAGAGTTGAAGCCTTGAGATGGAGTGATTTATCTTTAGCAAAGACAGAGCAGCATTGGGGGAATCCTATCAGGTCAGTGCTTTGGACAATCCTTTGTTTCTCAATAATGTCAATGCAGGTGTCAGTTCCAAACAGTTTCAAATGACCTTCAAGAATAGCTAATCTTTCTGGTGCTTGGTTTTCCTCAATGACTGAGAAATCAACATTTGCACACTTCTTAAGAAAAATACTTTTACCAACACATGCTGACAATATATTTGAACGGCTTGTTATCATCAGTTTGACAATTCCATTCTCTATTCCAGACATCATCATAGGGAATTTCTTGTCCCATCTGTCCACCAGATCCTGAACCAGATTAGTTTTTCCAAAGGCATCATCTATCAAAACAACAAACTTTTGTTGGACTTTCCTTTCATTAAATTTCACTGGAATATAGTCCCACTGACCGGGGTCGGTCAGTATTACAGGATGACGGGACTCCAGTTCTGAGAAACTCTTTAGTAAGCGCAAACCAGCAGACGTCTTTCCATCACCTGACCTGCCAGTGAGAACAACCACACCTCTTGAGTGAAGAAATTTTTCAGATTGTGTGATGAAGTGTGTCTTCACAAACGGTATCGCTTTCAAATCTCTCAGGCAGAGTTTACTCTGATCTGCAAAAGTACAAGGAAAATAGTGTCACAACATTGAAAGTGCCTGCATTAGTAGGCAATGATTCAAAATACCAACTGACACATCTCCTTGACTCTAAATGCCTTCTGAGATTCATTTGTATTGTACCACACAATTTTGCCTAATTATATTATTATGTCATGATGAAAACATGTCCATTTTCCTGCCTTGCATAAAACCCCAATACTGTGACAAAACATCAACATTAGTTTAACACTGACATATTTCATTCTGCTACACATAATATTTCTTAATATGTATGTTACTCATCAAAATTCTCTTTGTATGTTATCTGGTAATTGATATTTTATTTCTCTGTCCCTGTAAAATTAAGACCAGGCACCTTGGGGACAGAAAAGTTGCCCACGTAGGAAGAGATATCAAGACAATTTTAAAAAACATAAGCAAAGTTTTCAAATGAGTTTCAGAAGCTAATGTTATGCACATTAGAGGCATCAATATCAAGGACTCAGAGTGATTTTTAAATATTGGTCACAGATATCAAAACTAACGTCCATTTATGTTCTATACTAAATCACAAGAAAGGCATGAACATAATGAATAAAACAAGATTATATTTCTTATATGAGAACTTTTCATTCCCTGAGCCAAATATACATATTGCACATTTCTTCAAGTGCATTACTGACAACAAGATTATCATCAGATAGGGCAAAAGAGGTATTTCTTCCTTTCTTCATATCATCATGGTATTTCACTCTGATTAACCTGTAATAATGAAGGATGTTGTTATTAAGTTCAGAGGTGTCAAAGGTGGGGTAGCCTAATGGTTAAAGTGTTTGCTCATCAAGCCAAAGACCCACATTTGATTCCCCACATGGGTACAATGCGTGAAGCCCATTTCTGATGTCCCCCACCGCCAGTGTTATCACAACCCCTAGTGTACAGTACACAATCCTGTGCACTTGAAAGAACCCACAAATTTGTTGGTAAAAAAACAGATGATGGCCACATGAATACTTGCGGGTACAGCAACGTGCAGTAAACTTGGACAAAGTACTGTGACTATATGTTCCAGTCCATCCAACTGTGAATGGGTTACACTATGTTCCCAGCGGCCACAGTAGCCCCATTTCTCCGAAACATTGTGTGCCATGGGATTTTGGCCATTTTTTCCCTCCATGGTCAAGCTATGTTAGGTCCTGCTAAGTTATCTCACGGTATCCGTGATGGGCCTTTTGGAAAAACGGGCTGTTGAGTCCTGGATGCTCAAAAGTGCATTACGGTTTGGCCCGCAGACCACTACAGGTGCCTCCGGCCTCTTGCATTCTGATGGGTTCCCTCACGTTTCTCATGTTTTGATTAAGGTTTTGACATGTTTTGCGCATTCTGTGAAGACTTTCTATAGATGAAACATGGATGTCGCCCAGCTTTGGAGCACGTTTGTGCCCACAGTATAAAAATAGTTTCTTGTGTGACCCAATTAAAGTGCACTTAGTGATTGTGTAGCCTGTAAAACTGTGTGTGTGTGTGTGTGTGTGTGTGTTGTTAATTTCTATATACTCTATGTGGATGAGATTTTGTGTGAATGTGGGGGTAGCTGGGTGGGGTGATGTATGCTAACAATCTTGTTAATCTGCTTGTGAGTGTAAAGTAATGTTACAGTTACGGATGAGGGAAGTTGGGTGAAGGTGTGTGTATGTGAGTGTATGTTTCTATAAAGTAATGTTACAGTTATGGATGAGGGAAGTTGGGTGAAGGTGTGTGTATGTGAGTGTATGTTTCTATAAAGTAATGTTACAGTTATGGATGAGGGAAGTTGGGTGAAGGTGTGTGTATGTGAGTGTATGTTTCTATAAAGTAATGTTACAGTTATGGATGAGGGAAGTTGGGTGAAGGTGTGTGTATGTGAGTGTATGTTTCTATAAAGTAATGTTACGGATGAGGGAAGTTGGGTGAAGGTGTGTGTATGTGAGTGTATGTTTCTATAAAGTAATGTCAGAGTTACGGATGAGGGAAGTTGGGTGAAGGTGTGTGTATGTGAGTGTATGTTTCTATAAAGTAATGTTACAGTTACGGATGAGGGAAGTTGGGTGAAGGTGTGTGTATGTGAGTGTACGTTTCTATAAAGTAATGTTACAGTTACGGATGAGGGAACTTGGGTGAAGGTGTGTATGTGAGTGTATGTTTCTACAAAGTAATGTTACAGTTACGGATGAGGAAAGTTGGGTGAAGGTGTGTGTATGTGAGTGTATGTTTCTATAAAGTAATGTTACAGTTATGGATGAGGGAAGTTGGGTGAAGGTGTGTGTATGTGAGTGTATGTTTCTATAAAGTAATGTTACGGATGAGGGAAGTTGGGTGAAGGTGTGTGTATGTGAGTGTATGTTTCTATAAAGTAATGTTACAGTTACGGATGAGGGAAGTTGGGTGAAGGTGTGTGTATGTGAGTGTATGTTTCTACAAAGTAATGTTACAGTTACGGATGAGGAAAGTTGGGTGAAGGTGTGTGTATGTGAGTGTATGTTTCTATAAAGTAATGTTACAGTTATGGATGAGGAAGTTGGGTGAAGGTGTGTGTATGTGAGTGTATGTTTCTATAAAGTAATGTTACGGATGAGGGAAGTTGGGTGAAGGTGTGTATGTGAGTGTATGTTTCTATAAAGTAATGTCACAGTTACGGATGAGGGAAGTTGGGTGAAGGTGTGTGTATGTGAGTGTATGTTTCTATAAAGTAATGTTACAGTTACGGATGAGGGAAGTTAAGGTGAAGGTGTGTGTATGTGAGTGTATGTTTCTATAAAGTAATGTTACAGTTATGGATGAGGGAAGCTGGGTGAAGGTGTGTGTATGAGTGTATGTTTCTATAAAGTAATGTTACGGATGAGGGAAGAGGGAAGGTGAAAGGTGTGTGTATGTGAGTGTATGTTTCTATAAAGTAATGTCAGAGTTATGGATGAGGGAAGTTGGGTGAAGGTGTGTGTATGTGAGTGTATGTTTCTATAAAGTAAAGTTACAGTTATGGATGAGGGAAGTTGGGTGAAGGTGTGTGTATGTGAGTGTATGTTTCTATAAAGTAATGTTACAGTTACGGAGGAGGGAAGTTGGGTGAAGATGTGTGTATGTGAGTGTATGTTTCTATAAAGTGAGCGATATATGTGGTCTAGCGGGTGGAAGGGTGTGGGCAGTACTGTATGAGGCGGATGAAACATTGTCTATTTTCCCTTATGTGTGCATGTTTGTGGATGGTGAATGCAAGAGTGGATATTTGTTTGTTGTCTGTGAGCTTTAGATTTGATTATGCTAGTTGTTATGATGTGAAAGGTTCCCCATTATGCTCAATTTTTAATATATATTTTTTTCATGGTTTGTGATGTCATAGATTTAAATGTTTTTAACGTCTCTCATAGCCATTATGGTGGCTTATACATTGCAATTGGTCATATATCATATTTTAGACTCTGCAAATGTATTTGGTGAATCAAAATGAACAATCTCTCTCTCTCTCTCTCCCTGCCCCCTTCTCTCTCCATCGAGTCCTGCCGGGCCTGCAGTTTATACTCCCTCCCAGACCACCTGCACCGAATCAGACCATAGTAGAACACAGCATGCCGTATCTCGCCGGTCCTGTAAACCGTCACACGCCTGGATGTGTCGTGATAGAACAGGAAAAATAGGCTACCAGACACCCAAGCTTGCCGTGAAATCCAGTAAAAAACGGGCAGCAAGGGTGAAACAACCATGACAAAACGTGGCCGAACGTGACAAAACTTGAAAGGACCGTGAGATGCCGGGGAATACACATGCCTCCTGTCCCACTACAGACCCACTATGTACCGACTACAAGTTTTCTTACGGTCTATTACATGCTGTCACATTTCCCCCGTTTTACTACAGCGTACGTTTCTCATTAGTACCGGGACTGCCGTGGCAAATTTTTTAACAGTTTAAAAATCTGGCATGGCATCCACGGCAATCACGGACTGTCACGTTTGCTCATTCAGTCCCCTCGCATTGTCCCACGTCCACCCTGTTTTGTTCCCGTTTCACAACGTTTCGGCGCAAACAGGGCTGCGTTGCTGCCGGGAACATAGAGTAACCTATCATAAGGATGGGAAAGCCACATTAACTCAGTAAACCTGGTGGGTGAAGAGTTATGTGATCCCCAGGGAGTTGAGATTGATAATAAGCTGTTTGAGATTGACATCCAATGATCAAGGGAAAAACAAAGCACCTTTGAACAGCTGAGCTGGATATTGCCTCTATACAAATATTATCATAATAATAATGATAATATTGCTGAGAAATTTCGTAAAACCATACTCACTCAGTCACTATAAGGTGAAATGTGAGGGAGGGGTAGTTGAAATATTCTGAGGGGCAGTGGGGTAGGCTAATGGTTAAAGTGTTCACTCATCCGGGTTCGATTCCCCACATGGGTACAATGTGTGAGGCCTATTTTTGGTGTCCCCCACCATGATATTCGATGGAATATTACTAAAAGTGGCGTGAAACCAAAATCACTCACTCAGAATATCAGGGTAACATGACTGAAACCTCTATCAAACCATTTATAATAAAAAATTATCTTTTTAAACATTTACCAATGGTGATGTCTTTGTTATAAAAGATAAACAATTAAACCTGCATTTTCTGTGACACCTAATGAAAGTCAGTTACAATGCCTGTCCATAAATGATTTCACTGATTTCTTTGTTTTCTCATCCAAGATAGCTTCAGAGAATGTAACTGTGAAAACACTTCAGTTATATCAAATTTCACATACAAGAAGTATTTAAATTTTATCGGGTTCTCTACTCAATTTTATCGGGTTTTCTACTCCAAAGAAGTGTAAATATTAGTTTGTCCATATTCTTCATGAATGGATGGTTGGGGATTAGAAGACACAAATAATTCAATCTTAAACTAAGCAAGGACTTGATCTTGACAATCCTACCAGAAGGAGTAACACTTCTTGTCATCCTTATTATTACTTGAATTTCAATAATTTATTTGCAAAATTCTTACAAATGCTAAGCAAATTATTGCAACTTTTTTCAGTTGTTAAAAGATATCTACTGAGTTATGCCCATTAATGGATTTTTCAATATATCTAATACAAGAAGGCAAAGTCATCAATATCCCCCGCAAAGGCAAAATACTCGTCATGATTATGTCTATGAGTTATGATTATGTCAAATATTTAGGTGTGTATATAGAAAAGTGGAAGGAGAGTATTGAAAGGTTTTTAAAGTTCTGCTCCAGAAAGGAGCACTATCACCAATTTCAGTCTATGTCAACTTGTTGCCATGTAAATGCCAAAAATATTTTATTCAGAAATCCAAAACTACCAAAAGGCACCAGTACACCACCAGATCTATGTATGTGCCAAGTTTGGTTAAGAAACATTGAACGGTTTTAGAGTTCAGCTCCGGAAAAGTGCACTACCACTAATTTCTGTTTTAGTCAAACTTGTTGCCATGGAAATGCCAAAAATATTTTATTCAGAATTCCAAAACTACCAAAAGGCACCAGTACACCACCAGATCTATCTATGTGCCAAGTTTGATGAAGAAATAGTGAACACTTTTAGAGTTCTGCTCCGGAAAAAAGCACTACCACTAATTTCATTCTAAGTCAAACTTGTTGCCATGGAAACGCCAAAAATGTTTTATTCAGAAATCCAAAACTACCAAAAGGCACCAGTACACCCACCAGATCTATCTATGTGCCAAGTTTGGGGAAGAAATATTGAATGGTTTTAGAGTTCTGCTCCGGAAAAGACAAATGTGCACGGACGGACGCACGCACGCACGCACGCACGCACGCACACACAGACGGAGGGGGATAATGAAAAAGAGATTGGAGTCTCTTGAGCAAATTTCTGAGTAGTCAGGAATGAGAAAACAGAATTAGAAATGAAACTGAGGAGAAAAGGATATAAAACCCAAAGGGACAGAACAAAAGTTACCTACCAATGATATTTCTAAGTTGCGTATCCAATACATCTGAAACAAGGAAGTGAATGAGTTTTAATCACAGAGATGCTATAGCTGTTTAACTAAAGTATATAGACCAATTAGACTATTTCCAAACCATGTTAAAGGGCATGTAGACATTGCAGCTTTTAGGGGAGAAAACCATCACAAAACCTGAATTAAAGATGGATATGGCATAAAATATGACATCACTTCCGGTCAATTAGTATTGAATTGTGGACTTAACTATCACTTCCGGTCTCTTGACGTCACTTCCGGTATTCAAAGTCATCAAAAGATTTGTTGCACAGACGCCTGAATTTCCGATTTGAAGGGAGACAACCTGTTTGTCATCCAAACTGTTGTCCAGTATGTCTGTGTGGGATAGTAGGGTAGTGTCCACTTACCTGTTTGTCATGACAACCATTGTCCAGTATGTCTGTGTGGGATAGTAGGGTAGTGAACACTTACCTGTTTGTCATGACAACTGTTGTCCAGTATGTCTGAGTGGGATAGTAGGGTAGTGTACACTTACCTGTTTGTCATGACAACCGTTGTCCAGTATGTTAGTGTGGGATAGTAGGGTAGTGTCCACTTACCTGTTTGTCATGACAACTGTTGTCCAGTATGTCTGTGTGGGATAGTAGGGTAGTGAACACTTACCTGTTTGTCATGACAACTGTTGTCCAGGATGTCTGTGGGATAGTAGGGTAGTGTACACTTACCTGTTTGTCAAGACAACTGTTGTCCAGTATGTCAGTGTGGGATAGTAGGGTAGTGTACACTTACCTGTTTGTCATGACAACCATTGTCCAGTATGTCTGTGTGGGATAGTAGGGTAGTGTCCACTTACCTGTTTGTCATGACAACCATTGTCCAGTATGTCTGTGTGGGATAGTAGGGTAGTGAACACTTACCTGGTTGTCATGACAACTGTTGTCCAGTATGTCTGAGTGGGATAGTAGGGTAGTGTACACTTACCTGTTTGTCATGACAACCGTTGTCCAGTATGTTAGTGTGGGATAGTAGGGTAGTGTCCACTTACCTGTTTGTCATGACAACCATTGTCCAGTATGTCTGTGTGGGATAGTAGGGTAGTGAACACTTACCTGTTTGTCATGACAACTGTTGTCCAGGATGTCTGTGGGATAGTAGGGTAGTGAACACTTACCTGTTTGTCATGACAACCGTTGTCCAGTATGTCTGTGTGGGATAGTAGGGTAGTGTACACTTACCTGTTTGTCATGACAACTGTTGTCCAGTATGTCTGTGTGGGATAGTAGGGTAGTGAACACTTACCTGGTTGTCATGACAACTGTTGTCCAGTATGTCTGAGTGGGATAGTAGGGTAGTGTACACTTACCTGTTTGTCATGACAACTGTTGTCCAGTATGTCAGTGTGGGATAGTAGGGTAGTGTACACTTACCTGTTTGTCATGACAACCGTTGTCCAGTATGTCAGTGTGGGATAGTAGGGTATTGTACACTTACCTGATTGTCATGACAACTGTTGTCCAGTATGTCAGTGTGGGATAGTAGGGTAGTGTACACTTACCTGTTTGTCATGACAACCATTGTCCAGTATGTCAGTGTGGGATAGTAGGGTAGTGTACACTTACCTGTTTGTCATGACAACCGTTGTCCAGTATGTCATTGTGGGATAGTAGGGTAGTGTACACTTACCTGTTTGTCATGACAACCATTGTCCAGTATGTCAGTGTGGGATAGTAGGGTAGTGTACACTTTTGTCTGTTTGTCATGACAACCGTTGTCCAGTATGTCATTGTGGGATAGTAGGGTAGTGTACACTTACCTGTTTGTCATGACAACCATTGTCCAGTATGTCAGTGTGGGATAGTAGGGTAGTGTCCACTTACCTGTTTGTCATGACAACTGTTGTCCAGTATGTCTGTGTGGGATAGTAGGGTAGTGAACACTTACCTGTTTGTCATGACAACTGTTGTCCAGGATGTCTGTGGGATAGTAGGGTAGTGTACACTTACCTGTTTGTCAAGACAACTGTTGTCCAGTATGTCAGTGTGGGATAGTAGGGTAGTGTACACTTACCTGTTTGTCATGACAACCATTGTCCAGTATGTCTGTGTGGGATAGTAGGGTAGTGTCCACTTACCTGTTTGTCATGACAACCATTGTCCAGTATGTCTGTGGGATAGTAGGGTAGTGAACACTTACCTGGTTGTCATGACAACTGTTGTCCAGTATGTCTGAGTGGGATAGTAGGGTAGTGTACACTTACCTGTTTGTCATGACAATACTGTTGTCCAGTATGTTAGTGTGGGATAGTAGGGTAGTGTCCACTTACCTGTTTGTCATGACAACCATTGTCCAGTATGTCTGTGTGGGATAGTAGGGTAGTGAACACTTACCTGTTTGTCATGACAACTGTTGTCCAGGATGTCTGTGGGATAGTAGGGTAGTGAACACTTACCTGTTTGTCATGACAACCGTTGTCCAGTATGTCTGTGTGGGATAGTAGGGTAGTGTACACTTACCTGTTTGTCATGACAACTGTTGTCCAGTATGTCTGTGTGGGATAGTAGGGTAGTGAACACTTACCTGGTTGTCATGACAACTGTTGTCCAGTATGTCTGAGTGGGATAGTAGGGTAGTGTACACTTACCTGTTTGTCATGACAACTGTTGTCCAGTATGTCAGTGTGGGATAGTAGGGTAGTGTACACTTACCTGTTTGTCATGACAACCGTTGTCCAGTATGTCAGTGTGGGATAGTAGGCATTGTACACTTACCTGATTGTCATGACAACTGTTGTCCAGTATGTCAGTGTGGGATAGTAGGGTAGTGTACACTTACCTGTTTGTCATGACAACCATTGTCCAGTATGTCAGTGTGGGATAGTAGGGTAGTGTACACTTACCTGTTTGTCATGACAACCGTTGTCCAGTATGTCATTGTGGGATAGTAGGGTAGTGTACACTTACCTGTTTGTCATGACAACCATTGTCCAGTATGTCAGTGTGGGATAGTAGGGTAGTGTACACTTACCTGTTTGTCATGACAACCGTTGTCCAGTATGTCATTGTGGGATAGTAGGGTAGTGTACACTTACCTGTTTGTCATGACAACCATTGTCCAGTATGTCAGTGTGGGATAGTAGGGTAGTGTACACTTACCTGTTTGTCATGACAACTGTTGTCCAGTATGTCAGTGTGGGATAGTAGGGTATTGTACACTTACCTGATTGTCATGACAACTGTTGTCCAGTATGTCAGTGTGGGATAGTAGGGTAGTGTACACTTACCTGTTTGTCATGACAACCGTTGTCCAGTATGTCAGTGTGGGATAGTAGGGTATTGTACACTTACCTGATTGTCATGACAACTGTTGTCCAGTATGTCAGTGTGGGATAGTAGGGTAGTGTACACTTACCTGTTTGTCATGACAACCGTTGTCCAGTATGTCAGTGTGGGATAGTAGGGTATTGTACACTTACCTGATTGTCATGACAACTGTTGTCCAGTATGTGTTTCAGAGTGAGTTAGTTATGTTATCCAGTTGTCTCCTGTTTGTTAACACACTGAACTACCTTTTGCCCAACATAAGTGATTATTTAATGACCTCAAAGGAACAAAACATTTATGAAATACAAAGCTATGAATAGTTTAGGTTTCAGTTTATTTCTCAAAATACCAATATCACCTTACTTTGAACTGACTTGATAGTAACTCCAGAGTTGTTGTCTAGTTTGCACAAATTGACTGTTGGATTTCTGCCTGTGGAGTTGAACAGTGCAGCTGAAAGGAGAATGTTATGATCTCAAATAATACTGTATGTTAGTGTACAATCAGGACAATTTTACTGATGAGGATATAAGCATGTGCTGAATTGAAATTGAAGCAAGTGTGCACTGCAGGCTTTCCAATGATAAATGGAATACTGCTAACTTTATAAGTTACACAGCATCTTTATTTCCATTCAGATATGACAAGAACAAACCCTCTTTTAGCCAGGGCAGTGTCGAATGCATTGAATGTTCCATGCCAAGCAAAGACACACTGACAAATGTACATGCTGCTATACATACAGATATGTGAGAGATATAGAGAGCCAATTAAAAATGCTTCTTTATGTGCTAAATGGTGGTGTCTCAAACTGAAAGGACAAAAAAATATGTGCAATCAAACTTTAGGTCAAAAATAGGCACACCAGCTTTTACATTGTTTCATCACATTAAAAACTCTAAAGGCAAAGCAAAAAATATAAACTTAACTCATTTTCACTGAAGTGCTACATGAACTAAATATGCATTAATGAAACCATCAATATTAAATTTTTAGAGTAAAATTAATATTTTATACTTATCCTGACTCATGCTTATTGCTTGTCTTCTTCTTCTTGCGAACATAGTGGAACACGTGTATCTCCCAATTGAAGTTCCCTTCAATTAAAAAATCACTAATTAGTACTCACCACGAGTTACCTCCCTTCCACAAGCGCGGGAACGAGGGCGCCACCTCCACCCATGTGCCTCACTCTCTCCTTTTGTTTCGAGCCCGACACTTTATTTTTCCGAAGAAATCCAAAGTGTTAAGTGGGGAGGACGGGAGGGCTTACCTCATGAGTCAGGATAAGTATAAAATATTAATTTTACTCTAAAGATTTCATATTTTTCCTTATCCTGACTCATGCTTATTGCTTGTAGAATCCTACGGAAAAGGAGGTGGGAATATATATACTTTGGATTTTAATAATTAGTGATTTGAACTGTGATGATTGTAATAACCCTATGGGAACTTCATAAAGGCACTGAACTGATGAATTCCCTGCTGTTTAACTTATCAGCTGCCATATAAAAGGTTATTACAATTTATTGAATATGATAAAGTATATATGCAACATTAATGTAAGCTGAAGCTAATAACGTGATAATATAAACTTCTGTGAGTTTATAGAGGATACTTTTATAAATTAACCAAAGTATTAAGCTTAAGATATGCATATATTTAAGCTATAATAGTATATAGTACAGTGCTTAAGATATAATTATAACTTAAGCTGTATAATAGTAACCAACTCCTTAGAGTTTGTTAGCTAATACATTTATGCATATGACCATATGACTGAGCTTAAGGATTGATGAAACTTAAGCTGAACATATATATAGTAGCAAAACTCCTAGGAGTTGTAAGCTTATATATAGTATGATATAAAAACCATAGTACTGAGCTTAAGATAATAAATTAAACTTAAGCAAAATATATAGATAGCATGTAGCTATTAGTACTGTTATCAGATAAGTATAAAATCTGTAAGATAGACTTATCTTCTCCGTGGAACTGTCAACTGTTGAGCGAGGACCATGGGACCGAAATGGTGGATACCTGAGACGTCCTCGGTGGTGATATCTCTCAGATAGTGGTTGGCAAACACCATATCGGATCTCCAGAAACATCCCTCCATTATGGTATTCAACGAGCAATTCCCATGTAGAGCGAGAGTTGAGGCTAGCGCTCTAATTTCGTGAGGATTAGAAGCTCTTGGAGGGTCGAGTCCTGCAGCCTTGTAGGCACGTAGTATGACAGTTCTGATCCAGATAGAGATCGTAGTACGTGAGACTTCCGTCTGCGTAGCTGTAGATATAGGGATAAATAATCTCTTGAATTTCCCTCTGCTCTGTTTGGATCGTTGGAGATATATTTTCAGTGCCCTCACTGGGCATAGTGATAGATCCATCGTATCATGCGGTCCAAGTATGGATGAGAGAGCTGGGACGTGGAATAATCTGTCTGGTTGACCTGGCAGTTGGTTTTTCCCTATAAAATCCCAGCGAAGTTCCAGATGAGCGATGTTATGAATATCATCAAAGCGTGTTCTCTCGTAATCCAATGCGCGAATCTCTGACATCCTGGCGGCCGTAGCTAGTGCTAACAGGAATAAGGTTTTGTGGGTCAGTGATTCAAACAATGTAGATAGCAATGGTTCATAAGCCTCACTAGTGAGGTGTTGGAGCACTATATTTAGATCCCAGGCTGGAGCGTGAAACTTCCGTTTCTGATCCTCCAATCGGAACGCTCGTAACAAAGCGAGTAACTCTGGTGTTTTTGTTAACTTGACGCCCGTTCGCATAGTTATGACAGAACTTATGGCTGCAAGATAAGTGGACAAGGTTGAGCCTTTTAGATTCTTAGTTTGCCGTAGATAACATAAGAAATCTGCCACTTGAGGATGTGTAGCATATCTGGCTGTAAATCCTTTCTTAGCAGCGTAATTGACAAAACTGTGCCATTTGTCATCGTACAAGTTACGAGTTGAGTTACGTAGTGCAAGCGTGACCGCTTTAGCCGCTCTGGCAGAATAACCTCTCTTATTCAGACATGCCTTGATACAATCCATACGTGAAGTTGGAATGCTTCTGGTGTTTCGTGCACTTGTTTGGTGTGCGGATGTATCAATAGATTGGCGCGTTGTGGGAGCTGAAGAATTGGTTTTCCCATTACTTGAATGAGATCTGGAAACCAAGTTCTTGCTGGCCAGTAGGGCGCGACTAAAATCAGATGGAGGCTCTGCGTTTGACTGATTTTCTGTAAGGCTTGTGGGATCATTGCTGGAGGCGGGAAAGCGTACGCGTTGAGTCTCTCCCACGAAATACTTAGTGTGTCCGTTGCCCATGCTAGTGGGTCTGGCACTGGCGACACGAATGTTGTCAGTTGCTTGTTGAATCAAGTGGCGAATAGGTCTATCAGTGGAGATCCTATTTCCATGATTATTTGATTGAATATCTCTGTGTGGAGCATCCATTCTGTCGGCGACGGTTGGTGTGGCCGAGAGAGAGCGTCTGCTAATACATTCTTTGCTCCTGGAATGTGGCAAGCTCTGACGTGTATGTTTAGATTGTCGATTAAATCAAACAGTCTGAAACATTGAGTCAGTAGGTTCTGTGACCTTGTTGAACCTTGTTTGTTCACATAAAACGCCACTGTTGAATTGTCTGTGTGAACCATCAACTGAGCGTTCTGTAGTCTGTTGCTCCAGTGACTTATGGCGTTTATGACTGCTTGCATTTCTAGCAGATTTATGTGACATTTGCTCTCTTGATTGCTCCATAGGTCTGACGCTGTCCTGCCAGCAAGGTGGGCTCCCCAACCTTGTAGTGACGCGTCTATGTAGAGATGTGTGTCCGGCTCTACTAAGGAGACGCCTGCGCAAACATTCAATCTCTTGGTCCACCAGAGTAGATGTGGTTTGACATAATCTGGTAAACTGAATGGTAGAGGGTCCTCGAGATGAGCATTGATGAGGACTTGTAACTGACGTAATTGAAGCCTGCCTCTGACTGTCAAGTCTTGAGCTGATGTGAGTAGTCCCAATAGGCTCTGCCACTGTCGTAGTGGTAACGGAGAGAGTAGGGCTTCAGGAATAAGTTGTTGGATCTTGATCCATCTGTCATCCGGGACTACAATACGATTCTGAGCTGTTAGAAATCGTATACCTAGAAATTGCAGATCTTGCGTTGGTTCTAGGTCCGACTTGAGTAGATTTACTAACCATCCTAATTGTGTTAGTAGCTTGATTATAAAGTTCAGCTGTAGTCTGAGATGCTGTGGATCTGGATCCACTTGTATACCGTCGTCTAGGTAAAAAGCGCTGCAAAGACCTTGACGATGTAGGTAGGAGACAATAGGCTTGGTCACTCTTGTGAATACCATTGGTAATGTTTCCTGTCTAGGATAAATCTTAGATATTTCCTTGAGTTGGGATGAATCGGAATGTGTCGATATGCGTCTTGCAAATCTATGCTGGCCATGTAATCTTTGGGACGAATTAAATGCCAAAGTTGCAGTAAGTGTATCATGCGAAACGTTGGTGGTTTGCATAGATATTCTCTGTTGAAGATGCTCATGTTGTATATGAGACGAAACTTCTCCTTGGGAATTTTTCTTCAGCACTAGGAAAACTGGGGAGTAGAAACCTGGTACGATGTTTTGTTGATCCAGAACTTCTAAGGCCTGTTTGTTTAGTAGAGTAAGTACTGTTTCTCTTAACATAGGTAGTTGTGCCGGTTGAACGTTGAACCCTGGGGGGTTGACTGTTAACGGAGGCTTGGCCTTGAGTTGTATTAGATATCCGTGCTGTAGGATGTTGGATACATATGGATCTTGTAGTATTCCCCAGTTTTCCCAGTGTAGCTGAAGGCGTCCACCCACTTGAGACGGTTGTACTGGAACGGCTGGGGGTGGAAGACTCCAGTCGTTCCGAACCTGAATTTCATCGTCTAAATCCACGGGCACCTCTGGATGATCTGCCTCTAGCTGATCCTCCCCTAAATTTGTTGTATGGGCGACGAAAAGAATCCTTGGGATCTTTAGCTGCAGCTTATTTCTTGTCCCGTGCTTTCTGTAGCCCCGAAAACTTAGACTTGCCCAAGTATCTCTGTGTTGACTGTTTAATGACGTTCGCTAAGGTATCCATGGATCTGATCATTAGAACCTCTCTTGAGTCTTTAGAAACTTCTGTGGAGACCTTGTCTATGTTGCCACCAAACAGTAAGGGCGATGACCATGGAGCTGTGTATAGAGATTCTGTAAATTGCTTATCCCAAGAGCAGGAGGCTAGTAAGCCTTGCCGACGAGCCATGGTAGTAGTTTCAGTAAGCGCTGATAGGTGCTCTGTAAGAAATTGGTGGTCTCTTTTCTGCATGAGTAGAGCTGAGTAGATCATTCTATCTTCCTCCTCTGTAGAATTCTTGAACTTGGTGATGAGAGTTTCATTAATCGTTCTAGATCTATTCAATCCAAAGAACATCCTCCTGGCGATGGTATCTAGTTGAGCGAATTTGCAATCGTCTACTTTGTAACTTCTGGACTTGGCATCGCTGATTAATTTAAAGTTGTCATCAATATCCTGGGCCTTGAAAAAGGGGTCCATATTGTGTCCAGCAAATTTCTTGGCATTGAAGACCGGGAAATGTGTAGATTGGGGACTTTTGAAGATTTGGAACAGGCTGTATCCAAATTTGCTGGTACCGCTGCAATCGGATCAATAGGAGGTAAGGTGATATTGTCTACATCATCATCCTTCATTAGGTAAGTCTGAGTTGAATTCTCGTTCTTCGACGGGGAAGCAAGTTGTAACTCATTCACCATCCAGTATCTATTCTCAAAATGATACCTTCTTCCTCTGATGTAGGGTCACATGTCGGAGTCCTAGATCTGTAGGAAGATATATGAGAGGACTGTGGTGAACGGACTGACGAGTGGCTAGTGTAAGGAGACCTTGGAGGAGACATCCTCGGCGAACGCTGGGGACTTCGCAAAGCTCTTCTAAATCTTCGAATGTATCGAGTCAGTGTCCTAATCGACATATGAGCGCTTGCTTCGCGAACGACATCTGTGTTCTACAGGGTGTCGGCTCGGCGAAGCACTCCTTCTCCGCGATGTCCCTCGCAACTGGATAGGCTCTAGCTCCGTCGCGGAGGCGGCCTGGGACTTCCTTTGCAAAGTGATCGCTACGGGCTGGGTTGCCCTTCGTGGAGGCACGTTTGTGGGCTCTGGGGCCCTACGCGAAGCCAAGGTGGGCTCTGGGGCCCTGTATGACTTATTAAGTGTTGGGCTCTGGGGCCCGTGGCTCTGGGGCCTCTGTAAACCGTAACGGTCCTCCATCAGTCTCATGATTTGGTTAACCAGGTCGTCTGGGACGGTCTGCGCTGGCGTTGAGGGTGGCCTCTCTGTGAAAGTGACGGGACCCTCAATCGTAAACTCAGGCGTCAGCGTAGGCATCTCTGGTTGCGTGTTTATCTGCGCTGTAGTGACGGTAGCAGATACTGGACGTTTCTTATGACGTACATCTGGAATGATAATCGGAATGTCATCATCATATAAACATAATTCTGAGACAGGTAGAATATCGGAGGCAAAATTATTTGTAGTTTTCGTAGATTTCCCTTTTGACGAAGCTGTGGACCTGGGGGTTCGAAGCGTACGTTGAGATGATGTGGACGCTTTCCTAGTCTTAGACTGTGAAGACGGAATGTCTTGAGATGCAGGTCGCTTCTTGGACATAGCGGACTGCGTCCCACGCTTATCCCCCGAGGGAAACTCCGGCATGCCACCAGCCGGTGGCGGGTCGTCCATCAACAGTTGACAGGGTATAATAGCTTCCAATCTATTAGCCATGACTGAAGATTGTTTGCGAGATTTATCTGCCTTCCGTCTCAAAACGGAACATAAATATTTATCAAAGGCAGAAATTGGTAAATTAATACATAATTTACAACGAGAAATAATAGAACATGGAGTAATGCAACTAGGGCATTTTAAATGTGGATCGGTAGCGGAATAACGTAGTTTACAACCTGTGTCGATTCTCATTAACGTAAACTGCTGAACAAACACGGCGAACCGTGAATAAAACAGCAGAAACACGACTAATAATCAATGCAAGTTGAATAAGGATACTAGTTACACCTCTATAACTGAATATAAGAGGTACTAAACTAAATATAAATAAAGGATATAGTGTGTTGGGAGACACAGGCGCTCTCACGTCCAGCTCACTGGGCGAAGAAGGAGAGAGTGAGGCACATGGGTGGAGGTGGCGCCCTCGTTCCCGCGCTTGTGGAAGGGAGGTAACTCGTGGTGAGTACTAATTAGTGATTTTTTTAATTGAAGGGAACTTCAATTGGGAGATACACGTGTTCCACTATGTTCGCAAGAAGAAGAAGACAAGCAATAAGCATGAGTCAGGATAAGGAAAAATATATGCTTTTACCTGTTGCACATAGTTGTGCATTTAAATTGCCAGTTTCATGGCTTCCATCTACACTCTGAAGAGAAGAGCCAATCCTTGAAGGAAAATCATCTTGAGCACTTCCATGGAGCGGCAACGTCTCTTCAGTTAGCCTTGAAATTTGTGGCGGAGGAATAGGAGCTTGTGTGACATCCCGAGAACTTGGAGCATCAGCAGGACTTTGTGTTGGAGCAAGAGGAGGACTTTCTGTCGGAGCATCAGTAGCACCTTGTGTTAGAGCAAGAGGAGGACTTTGTGTCAGAGCATCAGCAGGACCTTGTATTGGAACATCAGTAGGACCTTGTGTTGGAGCAAGAGGAGGACCTTGTGTTGGAGCAAAAGAAGGACTTTGTGTCGGAGCATCAGCAGGACCTTGTGTTGTAGCAGGAGGAGGACTTTGTGTTGGAGCATCAGCAGGACCTTGTATTGGAGCATCAGTAGGACCTTGTATTGGAGCATCAGTAGGACCTTGTATTGGAGCATCAGTAGGACCTTGTATTGGAGCATCAGTAGGAGCTTGTATTGGAGCATCAGTAGGACCTTGTATTGGAGCATCAGTAGGACCTTGTATTGGAGCATCAGTAGGAGCTTGTATTGGAGCATCAGTAGGACCTTGTGTTGGAGCAAGAGGAGGACTTTGTGTCAGAGCATCAGCAGGACTTTGTATTGGAACATCAGTAGGACCCTGTATTGGAGCATCAGCAGGACCTTGTGTTGGAACATCAGTAAGATGTTGTGTTGGAACATCAGTAGGATCTTGTATTGGAGCATCAGTAGGACCTTGTATCGGAGCATCAGTAGGACCTTGTATTGGAGCATCAGTAGGACCTTGTATTGGAGCATCAGTAGGACCTTGTATTGGAGCATCAGTAGGACCTTGTATTGGAGCATCAGTAGGACCTTGTGTTGGAGCAAGAGGAGGACTTTGTGTCAGAGCATCAGCAGGACTTTGTATTGGAACATCAGCAGGACTTTGTATTGGAACATCAGCAGGACCTTGTGTTGGAACATCAGCAAGACCTTGTACTGGAGCATCAGCAGGATCTTGTGTTGGAACATCAGTAGGATGTTGTGTTGGAACATCAGTAAGACCTTGTATCGGAGCATCAGCAGGATCTTGTGTTGGAACATCAGTAGGATGTTGTGTTGGAACATCAGTAAGATGTTGTGTTGGAACATCAGTAGGATTTTGTGTTGGAGCATCAGAAGCAGGACATTGTGTTGGAGAATCAGTAAGACTTTGCTTTTCGGAATCAGAATCCAGAGAATCATCCCCTGACTCATAAGAACAGTAGAAATCCCAATCAGAGTCATCTGGATCCATTTTGAAATGTCACTTATTCATCAGTAGATGTAACTGCAAATAACAGTTGTTGTTGCCGACACTATCGATCACCTAAAAATATATTCAACACACAGATATAGTGTTAATTATAGCAGATATACTCTAACAGTGTGAAAGATATATACTACCCATCAAAAGTTTCGACTCACTAGTGTAAATGTAGCCACTAACTTCTGTCAACTGTTCAAACTAGATTTTGCTAAATATTCCACAGTTTAAAGTGAGTGAGTGAGTTCGTTCAGTTTTACGCCACACTCAGCAATATTCCAGCTATATAGCGGTGGTCTGTAAATAATCGAGTCTGGACCAGACAATCCTGTCATCAACAGCATGAGCATCGATCTGCGCAATTGGGAACTGATGGCATGTGTAAACCAAGTAAGCGAGCCTGACCACCCGATCCCGTTAGTCGCCTCTTACGACAAGCATAGTCGCCTTTTGTGGCAAGCATGGGTTGCTGAACACCTATTCTACCCCAGATCTTCATGGGTCCACACTGTTTAAAGGTACTGTTTACACATGAACTGATGCATTGTAAAACATATTCGTAACGTTGGAAACATTATTGTCATGAGTTCAACAAGAGTCATCAGAAGATGACAAATCCCCCCGGCCCCCATAAATTTGAAAGAACAAATCAACTGACAGTTACTTTAAGTCCAACTGTTTGTTTTGGACTAGGTCCAAATTGTTTCCATGGAAATCATGAAAAATAAAATGCCAAAAATCTGCAAATAGCAAAAGGCACCACTTTAGGTTCTGTTTGATATATCTACCAAGTCTTGCAGAAAGATATTGAACAGTTTCCGAGTTGTGCTCCGGAAACAAAGGTCACCCCTCTCTCTTGAGACTATGTCCGAAACGTTTCCATGGAAACCGGGAAAAATAAAAATGCCTGTAAATAGCAAAAGGCACCACTTTGGAATCTGCCTCACATATCTGCCAAGTTTTGCTGAAAGATATTTAGAAGTTTTCGAGTTGTGCTCCGGAAATGAAATTCACCCCTCCCTTTTGAGATTAAGCTCAACACGTTTCCATGGAAACCAAGAAAAATTAAAATGACAAAAATCTGCAAACAGCAAAAGGCACCACTTGCTTGATTAACTAACAAGTCTTGAAGAAAGATATTGAACGTTTTTCGAGTTGTGCTCCGGAAACGAAGGTCACCCCTCCCTTTTGAGACTAAGTCCAAAACGTTTCCAGGGAAACCAAGAAAAAAAATGCCAAAAATCTGCAAATACCATAAGGCACCATTATAGATTCTGTTTGATACGACTACCAATTATTGCTGAAATATACTGATCGGTTTTCGGGTGGTGCTCCAGGAATGAAGGCCATCTCTCCCTTTTGAGACTAAGTCCGAATCCTTTCCATGGAAACCAAAAAAAAATAACATCTTCTTGTCATCACAAGATGACATATCCCCCATATTTGAAAGAACAAATCATCTGACAGTTACTTAAAGTCCAGTTTGACTTTTTTTTAAAACTAAGTCCAAAGCATTTCAATGGAAATCATGAGAAATATAAATGCCAAAAATCTGTAAATAGCAAAAGGCACCATTTCAACATTTGCCTAATATATCTGCCAAGTTCTGTTGAAAGATACAGAACGCTTTTTGAGTTGTGTACCGGAGATGAAGCCCACCCCTCCCTTTAGGGACTAAGTTCCAATCGTTTCCATGGAAACCGAGAAAATAATAAATCACAAAAACCTGCAAATAGCAAAAGGCACCACTTTGGGATCTGCCTCACATATCTGCCAAGTTTTGCTGAAAGATATTAAGAAGTTTTCCAGCTCCGGAAATGAAACCCACCTCTCCCTTTTGGGACTAGGTCTGAATCGTTTCCATGGAAATCGGGAAAATAATAACTTACAAAAACCTGCAAATGGCAAATGGCACCACTTCAAGATCTGTCTCATATATCTGCCAAGTTCTGCTGTATGATATGGAACGGTTTTCGAGTTGGGAGGAGGGAAATCCCTTGGGGCTAAAGCTAATGGATGATTTAGAGAAGAGGAAGTTGATTTTAGAGTATTATAACAAGGACATCAGATCAGCTAAAGTGATTTCAAGTAGAACAGGCATGCCTTTGTCCACTGTTTATCGTGTTTTGAAAAATATTGCAAATGGATATGGCATTGAGCACCAGGGAGGCGCAGGTAGGCCCAAAAAATTGACAGTCGGTGACAGGAGGCGGCTTGGTATTCTTGTTTCTAAAAACAAACAAAGGAGTTTAGAAAACTTATGGCTGGATATGATTGATAGAGGAACTGAGGCTGTCTGTAAGGAGACAGTTAGAACTGAGCTGCATGCAAAGGGTTGGCAGAAAGTTGAGGAATTACATCACCGATCATGAAACCTGAACAAAAGGAGCAAAGGTTGAACTGGTGCTTACAGCATAGAAATCTTAACTGGGACAATGTGATTTTCTCAGATGAAAGTTCTGTGTGGCTGTTTCCTAATACACTGAAATTCTGGACCAAACAAACTGAAAAACCTTTGTATCAGTGCCCAAAGTACAGTCCGAAATTTAACGTGTGGGGTGGCATATCTGTGTTAGGGGCAATGCCCCTCTGTGTATTTGAAAGGAATATGAACTGTGAGCAGTACACAGATATTCTCGAGGGACATTTACTTCCATCTGCTCACGTGTTCTATGGAAATTTTGGATTTTCCAGAAGGACAGCGACCCAAAACATCGTTCATAGCATTCACAGGCCTGGTTTCGGACCCAAAATATGACATTATTAGATTGGCCAAGCTATAGCCCTGACCTAAATCCAGTAGAAAATGTTTGGGGGCTTATAGAGGAAAGTGTCACTGTCAATAAGAAAAATCTGACAAATATTGCTGAAATGAAAGAAGAGGTGGTCCGATATTGGGACAGCATGGACCACGACTTTCAAACTTCTTTGATCAGTAGTATGCCCCGCTGCATTGCTGCCCGTGGTGACTTGACAAAATACTAACTGTTCACCTGTCTTGGAATCTGGAGTTATGTTCTGCTAATATTCACAGTTAATACATGAGTAATGAGTGCCAAAAAAAATTATTTTACAATCTTTAAATTCTCAATAATTTCTGGTTGTACTGTATAATAGTGCTTACTGTAGCTTGCATCTGTACAAAGCAAACCAAAACTGGCGATACGTATCTACATCATACTCTGAACAGATTTTGTTATTTGGTGCATGTTAAAAATAACACCACTCTAAGGCCAGCAAAGTTTCTGTATCCCCGACAGTTTGATCAACAAGCTCTTGTCCTTTAAGTGTATTTTTTCCTGTGGTACCAAATGATATTCTTAGATCCATGAAAATGAGCTTTGAAATAAATTGAATCCGAGTAAGATCACGTAACTCATATTTATAAATCCTACACTGGCATCCTAGTGAACATTTAGCTCTTCTGAAAAAATTCTCACAGGCTATCCTTTGCAGTAAAAGTGCACATATTATTATGTTTTACAGATTTAAGATAGTATGCAGCAGGGAGGGTTCGGGTGATCCTGGCCAAGATATTCTTGGTCGGGTTCTGTGCCTTCCCCTGGGGCAAGTCCCATCTCCAGTGTGGTTGGTGTCACTACCGGAGGAAGGCTGACTGGGCTGCGGAAGTGAATTTAAACTTTCCTTTTGGCCGTCTGTAACCCAGTGAAAAACTAGCTTCGGGGGGTCAGCCCTAACTGGGTGATGCACGTTTGGTTCAGGGAATATAATTTGCACATATTATTATTATTATTATGTTTTACAGATTAAAGATGAAAATGTAGCAGAGAGGGTTCCGGTGATCCTGGAACAGTCAGACTGGTAAGGCTCAGTCATCAGCTCAGGGCCCTCGCCCCTCTACACGCAGCCCAGACAGCGAATGGGACTTCACCCAGGAAACGCTGCCTAGTCGAACCCACCAAGAATTTTCCGGGGAATATGAAGGCTCCCCAACACTGCAGCCTTCTGCATTACCCAGAGTGTCAGAAGGGCTGTGCTCCTGGTGGAGAACCTGGGCACTCTCCTCATCTGCACCAAGAGATCAGGAGGTACCAAACCAAGGGCACCAAGAACAATGGGGAGCCTGACAACAGTGTACTTGGGATGCAAGCGAAACATTTTCAAAGGCAAGATTTTTCCTGAATCTTGCCAATCACCTTACTGTCAAAAGGGACAAAAAATTCAATGATATAAATAAATTCATCGGCTTTATCAAATAGGACAAGATCAGGCTTGGTGGCAGGAATTCTTCTGAGGCTGTATACGGGCCTATTCCACAGAAATTTGAAAGCATCATTTTCGATGACTCCCTGGACATGTTCAGGGTCGTACCATGGATGGACCTCGGAGCCATAGCTACAGGCATGGCGGAGACAGTAGTAAAAGCAACGAGCCATGCCACCATGTCGTTTAAGATACTAGTATGCTGTTTGTGCCAAGGAAGGGCATCCACTAACAAGGTCTTGGACAGTCTCTAAGAATTCATTGCAAAGTCAACATTTCATTTTAACATTTAGGCGATTACGAGTGGGAAGTGACTGGTCCTGAGCAGCAAAAAGAAAGCCCTCAGTTTCAAATTTAAGGCCAGCCGACTTCTACCAGGCAAAGGAATCAGTGGGATTGCTATTCTGTTCCACATACTGCATGTACACATGATGCAATGGTTTCTCAGAAAGCTTCTCCACAAATGACCGACTCTGGGCAGACTTGGTGAAGGACTTCATCTGGCTTACTCCCATCGATGTACCGTCCAGCAGTACATCGCTATCACCAAAATCAACCTCAAATTTCAGATTCTGTTCAACAACCTTGGCACGCTTGAAAAAGCTGTGGAATTCCATGCTTTCATCATGAGTCTTGACATGCATCACCAGATGATCATCCGATAAATAAATATGTGCAAAAGTACACAATAAAGTTCTATCATGAAGAGCTTCCATGTTAATCAAACCCCGACCTCCAGAATTGATTGGCATATATACTGAGTCAAAAAAAAAGAAACTTCACATTCTTTCTTCAGGGCACTTTAAAAGAACAAGAGATGGTAAGATGGTTAAATTGTT